ACGCGTTTCGAGATATTTCGATTCGGGTGAACTTCATTGTCATGTTTCTACTTTCATAATAAGGAAATCTAATAAACAATCATATAATTCCAATAATCCGCAAATTGCCCCCAAATCGATAATCTTCCATCATCATAAATCACCCCACCATAAACTCATTACATTTCTGATAATATAAATCCATCCAATACATTTACGTAATCGTAATTATTTAAATCGTAACTTCAGCCACGGAATGCGCGTGGTAAAGTGGAAACTGCCATTTCTGACTGCAACCCGCAATTTTTAAATTTTACTGTGTTGAATATTCTGCGGTAATCATAATTCATCCGGGAATAGAAAAAAGTGAAAATACTTTTTGTCGAGTAGATGAACGTGAAATATTGCGATAAGGTACGTTGTAAGTGTCTCCCGTTAATTCCGTTCTTTACAGAGTACACATATCCCACTGAATTAAACCCGGAGAATATGTGTCACTGGAATTAATTAAATTTTTTTATTTACCAACCATTAATAACCGAAAATGGCTGCGAGTTATAAACAATAGCGAGGATTCCCGCCATGGAAAAAGGTATAAATTCGAAATATATATTAATTATCAGCAAATATATTCCGACCAACGATGGAATATATCACTTCCACCCTGAATACATAAACCCATTATATATAATATATACTATATAATACTATATATATGAAATGTATTTCCAGCAAAAAATTCGATATGTCACACATAATTATATCCATACATATTTTTTCTGTGTATCAGATTAGATGAGGTATATACTGAATATATATTAACCGTATATATATGGCATATGTATTTATTGGTGAGTGTTAAAATAGCCCGGAAAGTCGTTATCCGCATTGAAAATTCCGACCCCAAAATCTCGGGTGTAAAATTCTTCAGGTGCGCATTAAATTTTCATGGAAAAATGTCTTGAGGCAGTTCAGTAGAAAACGTCGTATGTCCTGAGGGTAATCGCCAAGTGTTTCACATCCCCGCGGACTTTTTTCCGAGTTAAATTTCAAACCCAAGAGCCAATGATTGAGAGTATTCAGGTGGAAATGTGAGACTATCAGTGGAATTGAAATTCGTCGGGACAATAAATTCAACTTTTTCTTATTTAAAAAAAAAACCGCGCGCTTAGTTTCAACCCCTTGGGTGAAAAATTCCATCGGATTGGGGGAATCAGGAAATGGGGGTATCCGCAAGAATTGAAAAATGACGTCAAACCCGGAAAGAAATGTAAAGCAATGAAAGAGGGGAAATCCACTCCATTGAATTTATTTAAAAATTAATCTTATGAATTGATTAAATCGCCGACGGCTGCTGCAATAACTGTATTTGTCGGTATTTTATTTTTGGTAATTCCCGGCAGGTGCATGTGCACTTTTTTTTTCTCACTTTGATGTATACTGAGGATTTTTTTTCTATTTGATAAATCGAGAAATTCCGTCATTTTTTTCGTTATCACACTCGAATAACGAGTTTTTTAACCAGAAGATATTCCCCCGTGCCGAGAGAATTTTTTGGTGTCAGCATGTCATTGTCAACTCTTTAAATTGACAAGAGAACACTTTCTTCTGTCCAGTACACGAAAAATCATTATTTCTTCCAACGCAAAACGCTGACGATTAGGTACTAAAGTTCGGGGTGAATTTCGCCCCAAAATTTGGTATGAGTCCGGAAATGTCAATCATAGATATGCATACCACCAGCTGAAGGATATTGATTTCTGCGGAGACTCCCTATTTCCAGGCTACACTAACCCATTCGACATTTTCCATCTCTTCAAATCATCCAAATATTCCCGATTAATTCTAAAATATTAAAATTCTCCTCTCGATGATTTTTCTTTCCTTCTTCTGATTCATGATAAATATAAAAAAAATTCAATAACAATTTCCCAAAAAATTTATAACAATCCAGCGTGGGATGGCTCAATGATATGGAAAGAACAATGATATGGAAAAAATAAAAGCCACAAAAAATCCCATAAAGGCATTAGAATAATGAGATAAAAATGGATTTCGGATGCAGTACATGCACAGCAAGTGGATCTCGTACCTCCAATATATACCCAACAAGTAATTTCATCCAATTATCCAGCCTATTGTTTTTTCTCCCTCTCCCTTCACCCTCATACACCGCAATTCACTTCCGCTTGGTTTCCTTCCTTCCTTCCTGCCAACTATATTCATTCATTTAGTAAACCTTTGCAGATTCCAGCGCAACTTTCATCGTTTAACGCCCCGCATATTTCTCTGCTAAAGGGTGCATGAAAATTTTAAATCCCCCACCTCCTATTTACATTTTGTTCTGCATTATCAATGTGCAATGTTTTTATACAAGTGTAGGTGTACGTTGCAGACTGCATTTTATGGAGGGGTAAATTTACCAGAGCAATGCGGCTATAACGAGTCGTGTATATGTTTTTTTAGTGGATATGAAAAAGTCAGAGGGTCATAAGAATTATGAGTAACAGTATAAAATAAAATTTTTTGATGTACATTGATTATAAAATCGAATGCATTTTTAAATATTGAAGATTAATGTAATTATTAATGACCCCTGAATGTAATTGATGGATTAAACGTCAATTTTCATTCTCTATTTTAATAATAAATTGTAAATTGCAATTGGTCTTGAAGACTGATTTTTTTTTAAATGAACACGATTTGTAAAAGCCGTTTATTTCTATGCAATTATCTCTAGGAATCACGTGTTCTTCCATCTCCAGGAACCGAGGAAGCATTTCCGTAAGAACTCGGAGATAAATGTTGCGGGTGGTAGTGAGAATGGAAAGAATAAACAGAAAAAGTGCACGGGGTTAACAAAAAAGTGAAGGCAAAAGGGACGAGAGAAATGGTGGAAAAATTGGTGTGGACCTCGTCCTCGGGAGGGGCTATCCATTGGTGAAATTACTGTGTCATTCTGGAAGTCACATGGAATCTGTCCTGAAATCGTGTGAAATCATTTGAAATTATGAGCTCGGGGAGAAGCCGTTGAAATCATGTTGAATCATGTGAAATCACTTGAGGTGATTTGAAATCATTTGAAAAAATTGTCAATCAGTCTGAAAATCACATGAAATCCTGAGATCATGTGAAATCATGCAAAATAATTCCGAATGACCTGAAGTCATTGGAAATCATTTGAAAAAATTGTCAATCAGTCTGGAAATCATGTAAAATCATCGGAAATCACTTGAAGTCATTTAAAATCAAGTATTCCAAGAAATCACATGAAATCCTGAGATCATGTGAAATCATGCAAAATAATTCCAAATGACCCGAAGTCATTGGAAATCATCTGAAAAAATTGTCAATCAGTCCTGAAATCATGTAAAATCACGTGAAATCATGCGAAATAATTCCAAATGACCTGAAGTCCTTGGAAATCATTTGAAAAAATTGTCAATCAGTCCTGAAATCATGTAAAATCATGCAAAATAATTCCAATGACTTGAAGTCATCGGAATCATTTGAAAAAATAGTCAATCAGTCCTGAAATCATGTAACATCATGTGAAATCACTTGAAGTAATTTAAAATCAAGTATTCCAAGACATCACATGAAATCCTAAGATCATGTAAAATCATGTGAAATCAGCAATGATTGTGTCCTGACATTTGACAAAGAATAACCCCTCGAACAATCCTGCATCGAGAAAAAAGGAAAATTGGCACGAATTTCGTCGACAGTTGGTCGACAACAGGAATATTACATTTCTCCGCAGACATTTCTACAACCCGAACTTTCAGGTCGGACTCTCACTAAC